GCAGACCCTTGTACATAGCTTTGACTGGTTGTTGTGGTTGGAAGGAGGGGCAGACACTTGTACATGGCTTTAGGCTAGTTGTTGTGGTGGGAAGGGGGGACAGAAACTTGTACATAGCTTTGACTGGTTGTTGTGGTGGGAAGGTGGGACAGACACTTGTACATAGCTTTGACTGGTTGTTGTGGTTGGAAGGTGGGGCAGACACTTGTACATGGCTTTAGGCTAGTTGTTGTGGTGGGAAGGTGGGACAGAAACTTGTACATAGCTTTGACTGGTTGTTTTGGTTGGAAGGTGGGGCAGACACTTGTACATAGCTTCAGACTAGTTGTTGTGGTGGGAAGGTGGGACAGACACTTGGACATAGCTTTGACTGGTTGTTGTGGTTGGAAGGGGGGGCAGACACTTGTACATGGCTTTAGGCTAGTTGTTGTGGTGGGAAGGGGGGACAGAAACTTGTACATAGCTTTGACTGGTTGTTTTGGTTGGAAGGTGGGGCAGACACTTGTACATAGCTTTGACTGGGTGTTGTGGTGGGAAGGTGGGGCAGACACTTGTACATAGCTTTGACTGGTTGTTGTGGTGGGAAGGTGGGACAGAAACTTGTACATACCTTTAGACTGTCGGGAGGGACAACAAACTTACACTAAGCTGTCGTACTGAAGCTGCGAGGAACTTTCAACGTAATACCCCATTCCATTCTCCCGCATCATGTATATTTGGAGAAATTGTTGCAATATTTCGACGTAAATTAGATTGAGGCTGTCATAATGCCTCGACTTGGGTATTTGGCGCTGATCAGATGTGACTAATTTCTGTAGGAAATTTCCCAAGATCCAATAAAAGCTATGTTTAATATGACACATAGAGCTCAGTTATAACTCCAAATAAGGTATACACACACTCTTCTTTGTCATTTCTGCTGTGGAATTGTTGGGAATTACATAGAAATAAAACTTTAATAATATCACAACAGGAAATTTTATACACTTTTAAATGATGAAGGAAGGTGATAATGTTAGGGTGGAGTGCCACAGCCACCTATAGGGAGGTATCAGCGAGTTCAATCCCTCTGTAATGAATCACAAGTACAAAAGGCAGTCGTAAGAAAAGGGCAAGCTTACCCAAGGGATCCACCTGACCCTCCATACTGGGATTTGTACCTTACCATTCTCCCTCCAATAGCAGGTTGTAACATTGCATTTCAACCATATGTACCTCTACAATTGGGTGTACTTTTCAAGCTCTCTATCCCTATTGAGCAGAAAACAAATACATTTAGATTGTGTTTTTTCTGAGGTATTTGGCCATTAATTTAAATGTATTTTCTTTAGGTTTTTATCAGTGGTTTTGAAAACAATTGTTTTTTGAAACATCTGCATTATTGGTAAAAGCTATCCAGACATTTTCCATTGAATTATTTTTATGGCACAAATTTCTTGACAAGGTCAGATACCAGCATGTAAATTATATTCCAGATCAAATCCATATCTTCCTCAGAAATAGGACATATCGTTGCAGATAGGGGCATTTTTCATGATTATTTGGAAACTTTTGAAGGTTGACAAATGGCGGTGTTACATTGAAATAGTGCACCTGTTCTATCTCACTGCTTTAGTAAATACAAGAATTAAGGAATAAAGAAATAACTTTCACTTGAAGGCATTCCATTAATTTTATTTCTTGATGAATTGCATACCTGTATGTAAAGCCACTAACAAAAAGCCATCATCACCATGGTAACAATTATGGCATGTTTTACTGGTGGAGATCGTACAGAAGGAAATAAACTTCAGTTTGGGTGTGAAAGTGTTTAAGTATAATGGAAATCAGTCATATAGGCTTTTGAAGATGTGAGTTAAGGCCTTATAATCTGTCATCTCATAATGATGCTCTTGTTTCACTCTGTAAGTTTTCGTTGGTTTAGGAGGTACGCTAAACAAACGTCAAAAGATACTACAAAGTAGGGCATCACACACATTGACAGATTATGATGGAAAACTTTCTCACACATGAAAATAAAAAGGTTGTTAATGATTTTTATCAAGAATAGTTTCCTTAACTTCTTAAATTCACCTCAACGAGAAGTGATACTGTATCTACACCTCCATAAGGTGTGGTGTAAAATACCTCCAAAAAAAGGGGTACTTAAAATTTACCTCCATTAGGATTGGTACTTTATACAAACTTCCATTAGGAGTGGTACTTTATACAAACCTCCATTAGGAGTGGTACTTTATACAAATTTCCATTAGGAGTGGTTCTTTATACAAACCTCCATTAGGAGTGGTACTTTATACAAACCTCCTCCATTAGGAGTGGTACTTTATACAAACCTCCATTAGGAGTGGGACTTTATACAAACCTCCATTAGGAGTGGTACTTTATACAAACCTCCATTAGGAGTGGTACTTTATACAAACTTCCATTAGGAGTGGTACTTTATACAAACCTCAATTAGGAGTGGTACTTTATACAAACCTCCATTAGGAATGGTACTTAATACAAACCTCCATTAGGAGTGGTACTTTATACAAACCTCCATTAGGAGTGGTACTTTATCGAACCTCCATTAGGAGTGGTACTTTATACAAACTTCCATTAGGAGTGGTACTTTATACAAACCTCCATTAGGAGCTGTACTTTATACCTTTACAGTAGAAGCTGTACTTTATACTTTTACAGTAGAAGCTGTCCTTTATACCTTAACAGTAGAAGCTGTACTTTATACCTTTACAGTGGAAGCTGTACTTTATGCATTTACAGTAGAAGCTGTACTTTATACCTTTACAGGAGAAGCTGTACTTTATACCTTTACAGTAGAAGATGTACTTTATACCTTTACAGTAGAAGCTGTAATTTATACCTTTACAGTAGAAGCTGTACTTTATTCCTTTACAGTAGAAGCTGTTCTTTATACTTTTACAGTAGAAGCTGTACTTTATACCTTTACAGTAGAAGCTGTACTTTATACTTTTACAGTAGAAGCTGTACTTTATACCTTAACAGTAGAAGCTGTACTTTATACCTTTACAGTAGAAGCTGTTCTTTATACTTTTACAGTAGAAGCTGTACTTTATACCTAAACAGTAGAAGCTGTACTTTATACTATTACAGTAGAAGCTGTCCTTTATACCTTAACAGTAGAAGCTGTACTTTATACCTTTACAGTAGAAGCTGTACTTTTCACCTTTACAGTAGAAGATGTACTTACAATGTATACCTTTACAGTAGAAGCTGTACTTTATACCTTTACAGCAGAAGCTGTACTTTATACCTTTACAGTAGAAGCTGTACTTTATACCTTTACAGTAAAAGCTGTACTTTATACCTTTTCAGTAGAAGCTGTACTTTATACCTTTACAGTAGAAACTGTACTTTATACCTTTACAGTAGAAGCTGTTCTTTAAACTTTTACAGTAGAAGCTGTCCTTTATACCTTTACAGTAGAAGCTGTACTTTATACCTTTACAGTAGAAGCTGTCCTTTATACTTTTACAGTAGAAGCTGTACTTCATACCTTTACGGTAGAAGCTGTCCTTTATACCTTTAGAGTAGAAGCTGTACTTTATACTTTTACAGTAGAAGCTGTACTTTATACTTTAACTGTAGAAGCTGTCCTTTATACCTTTACAGTAGAAGCTGTACTTTATACCTTTACAGTAGAAGCTGTACTTTATACTTTTACAGTAGAAGCTGTACTTTATACCTAAACAGTAGAAGCTGTACTTTATACATTTACAGTAGAAGCTGTACTTTATACCTTTACAGTAGAAGCTGTACTTTATACTTTTACAGTAGAAGCTGTACTTTATACCTAAACAGTAGAAGCTGTACTTTATACATTTACAGTAGAAGCTGTACTTTATACCTTTACAGTAGAAGCCATATCTTTCTTCTGGATTTGTTTGATGGTTGTGTAAATGTCATTCATCATTTTCTCACTAATGCATGATAATAAACGTTTCTAACTGTTGGGAAGTGTGATCATTAATCCTCTTATTGTATACCAATGTCTTTGTGTAGAATCAGTGATAAATTTATGGTACAGTGAAATGTCACTTGATGAAATTATTTATAGAGTATGGCCTTCAATGAATGTGTAAGGTTTTCCCCTCACAAACAATGTGTAAGGTTTCCCCCTCACAAACAATGTGTAAGGTTTTCCCCTCACAAACAATGTGTAAGGTTTTCCCCTCACAAACAATGTGTTAGGTTTTCCCCTCACAAACAATGTGTTAGGTTTTCCCCTAACAAACAATGTGTAAGGTTTTCCCCTCACAAACAGTGTGTAAGGTTTTCCCCTCACAAACAATGTGTTAGGTTTTCCCCTAACAAACAATGTGTTAGTTTTTCCCCTCACCAACAATGTGTAAGGTTTACCCCTCAAAAACAATGTGTAAGGTTTCCCCCTCTCAAACAATGTGTAAGGTGTTCCCCTCACAAACAATGCGTAAGGTTTTCCCCTCACCGATAATGTGTTAGGTTTTCCCATCACCAACAATGTGTAAGGTTTACCCCTCAAAAACAATGTGTAAGGTTTCCACCTCACAAACAATGAGTAAGATTTCCCCTTACAAGCAATGTGTAAGGTTTTCCACTCACCAACAATGTGTAAGGTTTTGCCCTCACAAACAATGTGTAGGGTTTTCCCCTCACAAAAAATGTGTAAGGTTTTCCCCCTCACCAACAATGTTTAAGGTTTCCCCCTCACAAACAATGTTTAAGGTTTTCCCCTCACAAACAATGTGTAAGGTTTTCCCCTCACCAACAATGTGTTAGGTTTTCCCCTAACAAACAATGTGTTAGGTTTTCCCCTCACCAACAATGTGTAAGGTTTCCCCCTCACAAACAATGTGTAAGATTTCCCCTTACAAACAATGTGTAAGGTTTTCTCCTCACAAACAATGTGTAAATTCTTGTGCGTTTGTTAAGTTAAAATGTTTCATTTTTATGTACCTTTTTTCATGTTTTTTGTATCACTTTTTACTTGACATTTTCAGTATTACGGGGCAGTCGGAGGGGATCAAAACAAACGGGAACAGAAACGAAGGCCGAAACCTAAGGATGGCTCACAGCTTGTCTGTGGAGTGTGTGGGGACAAAGCTCTCGGCTACAACTTTGACGCCATTACGTGTGAATCGTGTAAGGCTTTCTTTAGGAGGAATGCACTTAAATCAAAGGTAGGTACTACCCGGAACTAGAACCAGTGGCGTGTTAATCGTACATTGATATTAGTGCTTAATTGGTATTACTATTGTCATATGACAAATTGTCACTCGCACCCAAATTCGACACTTCATATCATGCGATGTGTTCAGAAAAAGTTCCTACGAAATAACCTGAGAATATAATCTACAAAAAAGACACTTGCTTTAAAAAGACAAGATAATGTTTTCTAAATAAAAAACACTGTAAGAATACTGTCACTGTCTATACAAAAAACACTTTGAGAATACTGTCACTGTCTACACAAAAAACACTTTGAGAATACTGTGTCACTGTCTACACAAAAAACACTGTAAGAATACTGTCACTGTCTACACAAAAAACACTTTGAGAATACTGTCACTGTCTATACAAAAAACACTTTGAGAATACTGTCACTGTCTACACAAAAAACACTTTGAGAATACTGTCACTGTCTATACAAAAAACACTTTGAGAATACTGTCACTGTCTACACAAAAAACACTTTGAGAATACTGTCACTGTCTATACAAAAAACACTTTGAGAATACTGTCACTGTCTACACAAAAAACACTTTGAGAATACTGTCACTGTCTATACAAAAAACACTTTGAGAATACTGTCACTGTCTACACAAAAAACACTTTGAGAATACTGTCACTGTCTATACAAAAAACACTTTGAGAATACTGTCACTGTCTACACAAAAAACACTTTGAGAATACTGTCACTGTCTATACAAAAAACACTTTGAGAATACTGTCACTGTCTACACAAAAAACACTTTGAGAATACTGTCACTGTCTATACAAAAAACACTTTGAGAATACTGTCACTGTCTACACAAAAAACACTTTGAGAATACTGTCACTGTCTATACAAAAAACACTTTGAGAATACTGTCACTGTCTACACAAAAAACACTTTGAGAATACTGTCACTGTCTATACAAAAAACACTTTGAGAATACTGTCACTGTCTACACAAAAAACACTTTGAGAATACTGTCACTGTCTATACAAAAAACACTTTGAGAATACTGTCACTGTCTACACAAAAAACACTTTGAGAATACTGTCACTGTCTATACAAAAAACACTTTGAGAATACTGTCACTGTCTACACAAAAAACACTTTGAGAATACTGTCACTGTCTATACAAAAAACACTTTGAGAATACTGTCACTGTCTACACAAAAAACACTTTGAGAATACTGTCACTGTCTATACAAAAAACACTTTGAGAATACTGTCACTGTCTACACAAAAAACACTTTGAGAATACTGTCACTGTCTATACAAAAAACACTTTGAGAATACTGTCACTGTCTACACAAAAAACACTTTGAGAATACTGTCACTGTCTATACAAAAAACACTTTGAGAATACTGTCACTGTCTACACAAAAAACACTTTGAGAATACTGTCACTGTCTATACAAAAAACACTTTGAGAATACTGTCACTGTCTACACAAAAAACACTTTGAGAATACTGTCACTGTCTACACAAAAAACACTTTGAGAATACTGTCACTGTCTACACAAAAAACACTTTGAGAATACTGTCACTGTCTACACAAAAAACACTTTGAGAATACTGTCACTGTCTATACAAAAAACACTTTGAGAATACTGTCACTGTCTACACAAAAAACACTTTGAGAATACTGTCACTGTCTATACAAAAAACACTTTGAGAATACTGTCACTGTCTACACAAAAAACACTTTGAGAATACTGTCACTGTCTATACAAAAAACACTTTGAGAATACTGTCACTGTCTACACAAAAAACACTTTGAGAATACTGTCACTGTCTATACAAAAAACACTTTGAGAATACTGTCACTGTCTACACAAAAAACACTTTGAGAATACTGTCACTGTCTATACAAAAAACACTTTGAGAATACTGTCACTGTCTACACAAAAAACACTTTGAGAATACTGTCACTGTCTACACAAAAAACACTTTGAGAATACTGTCACTGTCTATACAAAAAACACTTTGAGAATACTGTCACTGTCTACACAAAAAACACTTTGAGAATACTGTCACTGTCTATACAAAAAACACTTTGAGAATACTGTCACTGTCTACACAAAAAAAACACTTTGAGAATACTGTCACTGTCTACACAAAAAACACTTTGAGAATACTGTCAATGTCTACACAAAAAACACTTTGGGAATACTGTCACTGTCTGTACAAAAAACAATTTGAGAATACTGTCACTGTCTATACAAAAAACACTTTGAGAATCATGTCACTGTCTATACAAAAAACACTTTGAGAATACTGTCACTGTCTATACAAAAAACACTTTGAGAATCATGTCAATTGCAACAACTGTGTAACACAATCAAGCATGTAGATCACCGACGTATCCGGCCACCATTCGAAGGTGACAGAAGATCACAAACGGATATTTTTGAAAATGAGTCATTAGATGCTTTGGTGGGAACAAATGTCAGTGCTAGGCTATACTATAGAGTTGTGCCCAGAGCTGTGATAGCGCCCGTCCTGGGCCATTTCTGGGTAACTGTGGCACCTGCCAATCTTGGTAGAACTAATTGTGTAACAAGCTGTCATCTAGAATACTGCTGATATTCCTAACTGTCTCGTCCCATTTGGCTGATACCCCTCTAAACACATTTGTTTTGTTTAATAGCAGATGTAATCTTTCAAATTGGTTCTACAAAGAAAATATGTTTGTCATGAAAATTTAGAAAATCATATTTGGAGTGGGTAGAGGTTGCATGTTATCACGTGCAAAATATCACTGTCCTTTTTTTTGCTCCTTTAGGCTTACAATTTACAATTACAAACCTGAAAGTTCCTGAACAGATTCTCAAAAAATGTTTGTTGTATATTCAGCTAAGATGATTGAGTGATGAAAAACCCTGTATGCATCAATAACAGATGTCTATAACGTTTTAAATAAATGTCTGGATGTTGTCATAGAATCTATACTGGTGACAAGTCTACGGAGGAACTCAATTTACTAAAACCTGGAATATACTCACTTCAATGAGAAAAATAATTCCATATTGGAAAATAGATGACCTCCCTCAAGGCTATCTCAATAAAGTCACTTTAATTACGGGACAAAACAGATACAAATGTAAATGGCTGTGTGGTAAGCTTAAAAAGAGCATTTCTCCGCTACTTTTTGCAAATATTCATATTGAAATACCGCAAATAAACATTGACTGATGTATGAAATAGAATTGTCCCCAGAGAATTAAATAACAGTATTTCTCAAGTATGTCTAGTCCTTCATCTTTATTTAACACAGAATAAACACCTTATGAACCTAATATACATGTATAACAGTCTAGCACGAAACGCCATGTCAGATACTTAATAAAACCATTTAACACAGAAAAAACAGGACAAAAACCTAATACCACAGTCTTACACAGAAAAACATGACAGTTATATCTTACATTAATGTCCAACAGAGAAAATCCTGACAGATCTACCTTATAATAATATCTGTATAATACAGAAAAACATGATAGATGTACATGTACCTTATAATAATATCTGTATAATACAGAAAAACATGATAGATGTACCTAATACCAGACTCTCACAGAAGGAATTTGATTGATATATTTAATAGTAGTATTAAAATAGAAATATACAGAGCCAGAAAGTGTAGAATTGTAGGTACTATGATTATTGAGGTTGTAGCTATGGTGTGGGTATGACACACCGAGTACAGAAGGGACAACATATTGGCCCCTATCCATCACTCCACCACTCAGTAACACTATTCACTGTGTTTTATCAAGGCACACGTCTTGTGCAACATAAACTGATTACTCGCACAAAAAATGGATGATTTTCGAAAGAAACATTTTCAAATTTGTCATACTTAATTCTTTATAAATCTCATTACCAAGGTGTAGGACTCCTCATATTCACTGTTGCTATTTCTCCTTTTTTTCAATTTCTTTTTGCTAAATTTGTCATTCTTAAGTCTCTTATTCCCAATAAATAACTCCGCAATTTAAAAAAATGCAAAATTATTCATTGTTAAATCTATGATTCCGTGCACATTCAGATTGTGTTATAATAGTTTTTTTGTCATTTCCATTTTTTATATACATAATTAGTTGTACTTATAATTCATTCTATATCATGCTTTTAAAAAATATTAAGATTATTTTAACTGTTAGTCAAATTGTGTGTTTTAATTTGTGTATAATGTCCTGAATTAATGGGCATAAGATTTTGTCCTTGCTTTTTTTCTGGTACTAAATCCATCATGGTTAATTCAGGCTGATGATCACTATAGCGTAATGCCATGATTCATGTAGCTTAACATGCGTCCTGATTTTTTATCGTACTTTTATATCTCGGCCAACCGTGGATGTGAATGTAATAGAAATATATTCTGGTGTTTGTTTACGAGTGCCGTACACAGGTACCCTGTACTACTAACGCACATACATCTTCTCACACCAAACAGCCTTTTCATATTCTAGATCCTGAAAAAAATGTAGTCATATAATCATTGTCATGTCATATAAGTAAAGGAATAAATATCATTGGCTAATACATGTATATATTCTGATATTGAATACAAATATTGCATTGACTAGAAGGTAAATATTTATAATCTGATAGAGAAATACAAGTGACTGGGTTAATGGTTAGCTAGGTAATACAAGTGACTGGGTTAATTGTTAGCTAGGTAATATTTATGACCTGATAAAGAAATATTACTGGCAAGGAAAATATTTATTATCTAATATAGAAATAATGCTGACTTGGACAATATTTATAATCTGAAATAGAAATACTGTTGGCTAAGGAAAATATTCAAATATGATATAGAAATATTGCTGGCTTGGAAAATATTCAAATGTGAAATAGAAATACTGCTGGCTAAAGAAAATATTCAAATATGATATAGAAATATTGCTGGCTTGGAAAATATTTACAATCTGAAATAGAAATACTGTTGACTAAGGAAAA